CGTGAGGTAAAATATGCAGAACAATCAAAATTCTTAAAGATGCCAAATCTCAATACCGGCCTTTCATTCCTGCCAATAATTCATGACTTTGGTTGACGTCTGGTGATGATTGGCTGTGACCTGTTCCATCTTTTCCTAAGATTGCTATACACGGCGTCCACTTCAGTGCACTGGGTAATACATGATCCATCAGAATATATGGCGTCCAAAATGTCCTAGTCCTTCTTAGATTGACAGACACCAACAATGCGAGTTTTGTCTCAAGCAAATTCATAATCAGTCTCCGGTGTATGCATTGCAAGTTGGGACGAGTGGTCTCGCTTCTTCACGGCTAGTTGATGCTCATGTATATGTGTAGGGGCCGGCTTCCCATATTGGCCACATATACATATACATAAATTATGACAGATGGGCGCTCACCGATCAGGTTACAGAACACGCTCGTCCTGTTGTGCTACTGCCTGCGAGGGTTCTAGTATGAGCCCCAAGGCACAACAGAACGAGCATGTTCTGTAACCTGATCGGTGAGCGCCCGTCTGTCATAATTCATATTCCCGATCACAACCGACAGGACAACGGGCCCGTGGCTCAATGGTAGAGCGTCAAACTCCATGACCAAAGATCCCGGGTTCGAATCTCAAGTGATCCACACTTGGGGTTGGGTATGACTGGCTGATTACGGCTAATAAGCCAGAAATGGCCATTCCGGTCTCCCTTGTCTTTGTTGGTATCACCTTATCTACATATACATAAATACATACATATGGGAACCGTCAGCGGGAAAACACCTACTCTGTCCCAGGGTGGCCAAACAGCCACTGTCACAGATGACCTGCTAAGATAAGGGAGTCTGAAACGATGACTGTATTCGAGCTATCTATGCTCTCTTCACCTAACAAATCACCTCAATTTGTAAGCATATCCTGGAAGCGCTGCTGTTCAGTTTACCTAAGAACTGTATAAATCTATAGGTCTGAGTATCTTTTTAAATTATCCTGCTTAGATTGAGTGATAGCTCCCAAATGGAGTATAGCTGGCATAGCACCCTGTATACGTGATTTCCAAGGTTTCTGAAGTCTTCGTAGTCACTGTATCTCGGACACTGCCCAGCTGGCTTTCACACTGGTAGCTGCTCCTGGCGCCTATATGATTCGTAATTGCCCTTTTCTCGCCTTCCCATCTTCGTTCTATCATCCGTCTGGCAGTGCCACGTCGCACAGTCTTATTTTTATCGGAAGACTCAACCCCCCAGTACTTTCCAGGAGCTATTTTAAAGCCTCTCATTTTACCGACATATGTCCTCTTTACCTAAACAGTCGTCATCACTTTGGTAAGTGGTGTTTGGCTTCTGGAGCCGCCGCCGCAGGCGCCACCACCATAATCAACACCACGGCAACTGCTCTACGGGACGACATAGCGACCTGTCATAACTTTGTTGATTCTTGAGGTGGTCCAAATGTCCCGTTTAGACCACCTACGGTCTGATCGTCTTCCAGTTCATCATGTCCACATGCTTCAGCCTGTCCCCACCCCCCCCCCACTAGGACAGATACAGACCGGTCCGGTGGCGTTAGGCTTCCCAGGCCCCAGTCCCACGATCACGGG